GCCATAATGACTATATAATCGGCAAATTGAATATGAGTGATGTACTCGCCATTGATGTTGATACTATATCCTTTCAAGTCCATTCCAGTGTGGAATAGGTTCAGAAATATAACACCACCTTGATTTCACATTTTTGCAGTTGTATGATGTATAGTTTTCGTAGTCCGGTTCACAACTGGATAATAGACATGGTAATCTTACACAGTCAACCTGGCACTGCGGAAGAGACTAATTCGACGGAATCCAAGCTACTTTTCCCACATCCAGATAAAGTTGTATTACCAGGCTTACCATATTATTGCAGCTTTGAAGCTGCCCCTCAAGCTGTATTTAACATCTGTCGGATATATTCTTGCCTCAGATGAAGTAAAAAAGGTAGATATTGCACCTAGAATAAGAAACTGTAACCAATTTTATAACTACTATGTGTGAGTCAGAGAAGTGTTGCCATTTTTTGTGAAAAAAGTCCCCGAAAATTGAGATGAAATACTACAAATATAAGAGTAATATTGAGTATATTATTTTTAAATATAAGAGTAATTTATACGTGTTAGAGTCATGGTGCAGTTATATTAGTTGTATAGTTGTAGCACGAATGGGTCGGCTTGACCGGGGAAGGACCACACTCTCACAGAATACCAGCGTGAAATGGTAGCGTAATGCAGGGGCATGCTGTTGTGTTTTGTATGATGAGTGTAGAGAACCGAAGACCCTTTTTACTGGAAACGAGGCATTCCATCTTAGTCCTCACGGGTGACATCGCATCTGCATTTTGATTCGTATCGAGGATAGATGTAGATGTATATGGGCCACACCAACCATTTACCAGGTGGACTGTGTGCTTGTTTGTCACCCAGTCCTACAAAAAAAAATGCGAAAGTAAATCTGTCTGTTTAACTAAATTTCAATAATTTGATTAATTCAAAAAGAGATGGTGAACGTAGGAGGCGTCTGTAAATCGTGTAAGAGCGTGTAAGCATCGAGAAACAATATAACATATGGAATGTAAGACATGTTTATTAAAAAAATAATCTAATACTCAAAAAATCGTAAAAAAATTAGTTGAAATAAAAAAATGGATGGAATTATAGATATAATTTTCTAGATGAAAAAAAGTTAATTTTAGTAAATAAAAAGTAGAACAAAGTCCAGCCCGGAGCACAAAAGAGTGTACTAATTTGTACCCCGGGTAGGAGAGATGTAAAGTATTAGCCGGAGAAAACACCTGAGTCTCGGTTAAAAAGAGCAAGGCTGGCTTTGCCGTCTCCCGATGGTAGTGGACAGCGTTAAAATTGGAATGAAGTCTCTTGATGTCGCAAAAATTCACGGAAAGCGTGACAGGGGTTGCCTTAGTCTTATTGCTCCGCTTGCCCCTTCTCGCGTCTTAGTCGCGAGCGGAAATTCCCCCCCCCCCCCCCAGAATACGCGGGGCAGCCTAAGCACTCACGCTCAAGAAGAGTAAGATAGTTTGGTCGTGGATTTGAAGTGAGGGATTCTCCGCCACCAATAGTGCTGGTACCCTCTTGGGGTAGTTTTATTTGATTCCGCTACGATGTAAGGGAGGGGAGGGGGATTGAGCCTCCCACCACCTACACTTACCAGGCAAAACGCAAAGGTAAGTATTCATGGTGGTATTCTGTGAGATCGTGGTACCACCCCGGTTTAACAGTAAAAGCTGCTGCGTGGCTAAGGCTGTCAAGTTCAGAGGATAGCTGCCATTTTGGTTCATTTCAGCTTAGTCTTCTAGCAGCTACCCTTCATTCATGTCTAGCTATGCCATGTGGAAGCCTATAATCATAAATATTTTTTATAATAAAATAGTTTGTAAGTACTCAAGAATAAAAACAGAAACACCAGCGAGTTAAAAAATTAAATATTTACCTTGAATTCAATTTGATGTAACATAATAACACGTAAATAAAAAAAATATGCTGACTACTTATATTTCTAAAACATAACCTAAAATTAATTACCCAAATCTTGGACCATTAGAAATAAGAAATACTGGCAACATTCTCCCGTTACGTAATCTCGGAACATTGACATCCGTGCTTCGAATAACCTTCAAAATTGTGTTGTAGTATCAAAATAAAATATGTAGTTAAATGAGTGTTCACGTGTGAAACGATATTGCTTCAGACATTTTGTTCCTTTAAGTATTGTTTTTGCACCATTTAATTACACAGGGCGGCATTTTGTAGGCAAATTTACTGCACGACGCCCCGGGAAGTACTGACGAAAATGAGCGTAGTAGTGATGCATGTGTGTGCGTGAACGCGTGTGTTTACTTACTGTTTTTTGGCTTCACCTATAACAAAGGCTGCGATGTATCTACCTTTTTTTACTTCTTCTAAGATTCTTGCATCTTCATTATGGCATCCAAAGGGCGAAAGGGTGTGATGAATTCTCAGTGGAACAACATCTGCCATAGTAAACATCGTCACAAATGAGGGCTAATAATATTTCGCTCACTAGATGTCGCTTGTAATAAAAGTTTTTCAGTTTATAGTGTGTACCTTCACAAAATAATGCCCCAGTGGTGTGCTCTTTATTTATTTTTTTGATTTAGAACTATTTTAAGGTATTATTCGTAGTTTGGTTTATCCATTTATAATTTATTTATTATAAAATTTAATAAAAAAAACATTAATCTTTACACTTTTCTAAAAATTTTACTTCCTCGCCATCAATCTGTCAAATATTTCACTTATTCCAAAGTAGCGACGCGCCGCCCAAGTGGCAGAAAATGTAGTGAAGTACTGGTTACCACTAGGCATGGGTCATTGACGGTTTTTAGTTCATGTCATTTAACTGTAAATCATTAATGGTCAACAGGTAAAAAAATTGTTAAATAAATAACAGATTTGAAACTTTAATCGTTAGCGTCGATCGTCAATTTAATATTTCAACGTTTTCGATCAATAACTATTTTGTTGAAGATTATTGATTTGATAAGAAATAAATTCTTATCTAGAGATTACTTTTATGTATATTGAACTGGTCTGATAAACTTGATTTTAACAATGAAACTATATCATGGCCATTTTATGTTCGATTTCCTTTCCCTCATATCTTCTTATAAGATTCTATCAGACAATGTGTCATTATTATAACATAGCCGCCCGTCAAATATTTGTGGTCACCCATGGTTCTTGTCACCTCTTCGAATGGTTCCAATACCTTTCATAACTGTTGGTAGGTGGTCCAATCTTCCGATGTGTTGATGATTTGTTGAAAAGTTGGCAAGTTTTTGTCTGCTAGCGTCTAAGTCTTTCTCTGCGAGCTTTTCTTATGTTAGTCAGAATTTGTTTTATATTGTTTATTTATCTTTGGCAGAGTAAACGTGAGTTTTTACGTCCCGCTGACATAATATCCAAGCTTTGTCACAAAACAATATTTATGTAAAATCCCAACCCAATAGATATTATTTTACGGTAAAACTTAAAAAGTTGAAAAATAAAAACTAAACTTAAAAACACTTGTCGTGTAATGCAAACAAAACAATTTGAAATTGAATTTTAACCTTGACCGAAGCTCATGAATTGTTTACACACACTCAATACAAAGTCATAATAAATAATAAATGAACTTTCTTTACTCGCTCACGCTCACACACGAACGGACAAGACCACCTCCGATGCATCGACGCGACGGTGTTCGGTAACCTTCGGAAGTAACGAATATTTCCGAAGGAGACAAAATTCACAGAAAGGAATAAAATAATATTGAAAAAATTCGTTAAGTGCGTTGGCATAAATTGACAGCTAATATTTTCAACCTGTTTTTCATTAATGTGAACACACACATACCCTTCGGCAAATTGTACAGAAGTCCGAAGAGTACAATTTGCCACTTTGCCTGGCGTATATGGACTATGAGAAAGCCTTTGATTCCGTCGAAATTTGGGCGGTGCTACAGTCTCTTCAGCGGTGCCATGTTGACTGTCGGTATATTGAAGTGCTGAAGTGTTTGTACAGTAGGGCTACGATGGCTATCCGAGTACAGAACCAGAGTACGAAACCTATCCAACTGCAGAGAGGTGTAAGACAGGGTGACGTTATTTCCCCGAAACTCTTCACCGCTGCATTGGAAGACGTTTTCGAGCTACTGGACAGGAAAGGATACGGTATTAAAATCAATGGCGAGTACATCACTCACATTTGATTTGCCGATGATATAGTCCTTATGGCAGAATCGCTGGAGGACTTAAGCACTATGCTCAATGACCTCAATAGTGCCTCCCAACCGATATGTCTTAAGATGAACATGGACAAAACAAAGATCATGTTTAATGTCCATGTCACACCTATGCCTATGGTAGTTGTTGGGAGTACTAAGCTCAAAGTTGTTGATGAGTACGTTCACCTGCGACAAATAGACCGACTAGGTAAGTCCAACTTCGACCGAGAGGTCAATTGACGGATTCAACTTGGCTGTTCAGCGTTCGGGAAATTACGACACATCTTCTCGTCAGGTATACCCAAAACCTGAAAAGTAAGTTGTACAACCAGTGCGTGTTGCCAGTGATGACCTACGGAACCGAGACGTGGTCCTTCACTGCTGCCCGTATGAGGACGCTCAAAGTCGCTCAGCGAGCTATGGAGAGGGCTATGCTCGGAGTTTCTCTGCGTGATAAACTTAGAAATGAGGATATCAGTAGAACCAGAGTGACCAACATAGCCCAACGGATTAGTAAGCTGAAGTGGCAATGGGCCGGCCATATAGCTCGAAAAACCGTCAACCGCTGGGGAAGAAGGGTTCTTGAGTGGCAGCCTCGTACCGGTAGGCGAAGTGTAGGGCGACTCCCCACTAGATGGAGTGACGACCTGGTAAGACATGCAGGAAGTCAATGGATGCAGGTGGCTCAGGACCGTGCTTTGTGGCATACCTATGTTCAGCAGTGGACTTGTGAAGGGCTGTAATGATGATGATGAACGTAAATATAGTATATAGTATAATAGTTCGCTGTGTATTGCCGGCGTAAGATAAGAATCACTTACTCATATAAAGGTGCATTGGAGTCAATTTCTTCAGTATTATCTGCCAAGGCTCTGATAATTCTCAATGCAGTTATCTGCCTATCATACTCAGCCTGCAACATTATACGTTCATTCTGTTTCACCTCCAATACCATGTCGAGGTGACGTTGCTGTTTTTTTAGATTTTGAAATTTCTTTAACGTATGTTTTATTTTCCTAAAAATTGAGACTGAACTGTAGATTTGACAGGACATGTGGTAGCGTAAGAGAATTCATTACTCTACTTTGTCTTCTGCATTTTGCAAGAGACAACTTGGGGAAATAATCATTTTTATAAAATAAGGGTGACAAACAAGCACACAGTCCACCTGATAGTTGCTGGATGCTAGGTGAGGTGGAGTTCATCTTGATCAATGGATGTTGTGTTCTATAGACACATTTCCGTGCCTCCTATTAAAGTAAAGTTACTTTAATATATACACTTATAAACACTTTACTGCCTCGTTGATGTTGGTCGTAAACTCGATTAGGCCAAAAAATCTATTAAGTGTTGAATTTTTTTGTCAAGAAATTCACAGTAGAAGTCCGGAGTCAGAAAAATGGCTGTATTTTCACCTCAGTGCCTCGAAAAGCACATAAAACCGTTAGTCCTGCGCCTGATTTCCTTCCAGTTGTGTTGCTATGAGAGTGAGGGAATAGAGTATGCCACCTGTGCTTGCACGTGTATGGGCACTATAATCCTGTCCTACACAGGAGATTGTCTCAGTTAAGATTTATGGCCTTGACCAAATTTGGGCTGAAGGATATTATTACTTGTGAACAGGTGCTATTTATGAGGTCTGGCCCATTCGTGTTTGCTATGCACTGAAAAGCTTACAAATTTTTACATTAACCTTTGTTTTTGGTACACCACACATGCTTATGTAAACAATGGGCCAATATAGGTTCATCTGGTATAGTAACAATTCCCTTGCTTTATATAATTACAGGTTGTGAAGTATAACATCTTAGTCCTCAAAGGTGATCTGTAGCCCTCTTTGGTCGAAGTTAACTGCTGATATCCATTAGAGTAGCCACTTACCATCAGGTGTCCAATATTCATTAGTACACTAGAGTAGACTTACAAGGTTACAAGTTACAAGCTAATAAATGAAAAAGGTTTGAGGGTATGACATTTTCAGTGACTACAATCTAACCTTTGATGAATTCCACAGTTTGAGAGCAACCCGGGTTCAATCCCCGCCAGCACCAATGAAATTGTTAATTCCAATTTTAAATGCTAATTTACCACATGCTCTACAGTGAAGGAAAACATTGATAGGAAGCCTACATGTTTGGGAAATAAGAACAAATATATTTCAAAGATGTGTGAAGTTCACCAACACACATTTGTGCAGCTGGTTGGACATTTCCTTGCCCTAAAAACCCTCTCAGAAATGAGAGGAGGCCTGTGCGTAAGAGGGAGATATACATAGTCTGTAACTTTAACTTTTAACAGTCTTATCTTTGTTCACAAAACTGAATTTAATAAGTAACTTACTGTTTATTAGTAGTTACGTTGTACCAGTTCTGGCTCACTGAGTCAGAAGTGGTACAAGTACGACGTTCGTCGACTCAAGATCCTAAAAAAAAAAAGTTTTGGCATGCTCTGATCACGAATCTGCGTAGTCTAGTCCATTTTTGCGTAGGATGCACGGTTCCGAAGATGTGCAGATCAATTAACTCTTATCTAATTGATATCCGGTGCGGGCCTCCACCGTCATTAGCGCCCCATTGTTCTTATCTATTTATCTATTGTTCATTGAATACCGTCATTATCTATTCTTCCTCAGCGTGGTGCTATTGTATTATACTCCTTTGTTCCTATCTACACTAATCTGACTCGTCAATAAAACACATTACCCAATTTTGTTAAAATTTTTATTTACAAAATACAAAATCTTATTACTTATTATCTATAAAATAGGAACGAAATATCTCATCCACTAAAATATCGCTGTACAATGTATTCCCTGTAAATATATTCGTAAAATTATGCATTAAACATCCCTGAAACTTATATAGCAAATACATTAAGCAATATTCGCCACAAACTGAAGTCCACTCATTCTGAATCCTATCAACATTCCAGTTCCATCTTTTACAATTTCTTTTCAAAAACTCTAGATGATATCGTACAGGTGCCCGTCCGAATGAATCAAAATATTGACCGGCGTCATTCGTATCGATATATAAAGCTACCCAATGTGACCCTGGTTTATCATCTGTATCCAAATTGCATATTATATACGTTGGTACGTGGGTGTACATGGGCAGTTTATTGGCAGCATAAACGTTATTTTCTAGAGTGGGGTGAATCTTTTTCAGATGTTGTTGTACATCTAGTGTATCTATGATATTACTGCTATTAGTAGATTATTACAGTACCAATCTACTCAATGACTAACATAGGAATGATCAACAATAGTGATTTCTAAATATTAAATTGCATTCTTTGTGTTATACAAAACGTATACGAGTCATCAATATACTGAACAAGACACGACACGAAGGACGAAGGAATGTTGAGATAAGCAACAGAATGTGAGATAAGCTTGTTGACGCATAAATTTATTATCAATTCCACTGCAGAAATTCTTTAGATTAGAATTATCACTTACTGGTACTATATAAGACCAAGCAACTGCAGTCATTGAGTTAGTGTATGGTCGTTTGACCGCAGTGGATCTATCAATACTACATTTGTGTTACTTCAACGCATCAAAGGCCATGGATGTAAGTGTTTATTCTATTAACAAACTAACTTTTCTTTCTGTTATTTTCTTAGGTGTGTATGATTTAGTGTTAACAAATTATATTTAAATATTGTGTGTGTATATGATTAAGCCGTGGTAGCTCAGATGGTTAGCGCAAAATGTAAATTTCACAGTACGCGACCCGGGTTCGATCCCCGCCGGCACCAATTAAATTGTTAATTGCAATTTTAAGTGCTGATTTACCACGTGCTCAGCGGTGAAGGTAAACATCGTGAGGAAACCTGCATGTCTGAGAAAATTTCGAAGGCATGTGAAGTTTGCCAACACGCATTGAGCCAGCGCAGCGAACATTTCCTAGCCCTAAAACCCTCTCAGAAATGAGAGGAGGCCTATGTTCAGCAGTGGACTTTAATAGGGTGTAACTTTAACTTTTTTAACTTTTATGATTAAGTGTTAACAATTTGATATTAACATGATAACTGTGTTGTTGCAGAAATCATTGAGCTTTGATGAAAATACCTATAAACAGTATTACTACTCGCCACTCTCGCCACTCAAGAAGAGAGTAATGACATCGTCATTAATAATAACACATGCGATGGTGGAAAAAGGAAATCGCAATCGATTGATCATTTTTTTGAAGCTGAATCAAAAATAAAAAAGAGGAAGCTGTTATCATCTACCGTAGCACGAGCCGCTAGAGATGGTGTATCATACATTTCTACTAATTCTCACGACGGAGACCAAGCGACGGATCTCATCAAAATTGAAATGTACGATATGAAGAAGCTATCCAAGATTCCAACTACTGATCATTGGAAACATGCTTCCACGAGGATTAAATATTACGTATATTACGTAAAGTTATTAGTATAAGGATAGCATCTACGACAACACAAACGCCCTCGTATACAATATTACAAAGACAATAGCAGAAAGTGAAAAATTTAAAAAATACTTTTTTAACAATGACAGTCATTAGCTGATCATTAGTGAATGTGATTCTGTTTACTTAAATTACTTCTGTGTAATCATTATATTCTATTTCTAATCCTTTGCTAGATTATAAATATCGGACATTATTTGAAATTTGGGTATCAGTTTGTCTACCAACAGTGAAGTGTGCACCAGTGCTTTCTTCTCCACAACCATGGAAGAGAATACGGAACTATTCAACAGCGAATTAAATCAGGAGTTGTCTAAAGTTTGTGATGAAATGGAGAAGGATCAACTGTTCGATTCATCGTATGATGATGAGTTGTATAATCACTGTGCGATGGTTGAAGCACAGTTTAAGTAAGTTAAATAAACATTCATTTCGATCATAATTTACACATTCTCTTATACAGTTTTTAATAAATTTAAACAGTTTAGTAGTCAACCACTACAACTTGAAAGAGGAACGAAGCGAACGAGCAGCAAAGAACCCAAGATCATCAAAAAACCAACAACGGAAGCAGAAGCGCCTACCTCTGCAGGGAACAGTATCAGTAACGATGATCAAGTGGAATGTCTAACGTGTCATATATTTATCAAGAAACGGTATTTAGCTAATCATTTTAAAAGTAATGTTCACAAAAATAATCTTTAAATTCACATAATTCTTTATCAAACGTTAGTGTTATTGAATCTTTATAAAGCTTGCTTTTGGAAATAGGATTTTAACTTATAAAATCAAGAGTAGAGTAGATAGTTCGACATTGGTAAATTTTGAAACTCCTGAACTATTTTTAAATTCTATTAAAGATGATATTTTATTTTTAATACAAGAGTGTATTCATCAACACATAATTTTTAAAGTAAACTTCATATGGCATGCTGATTTTGTTCAACAAACTAAAGATATTCATAATACGTTCGATTTTCAAACGCTTAACTATATTATTTGTCAAGGAGATGACTTAATTTTTTTTCATCTTTAAATGATACAATTACTACTAAAATTAGTGCATTTAAAAAAAAGATAGTGGATGGAGTCTAAAAAACATAAAATCTATAGACATGAATGTTAATAAATTTAACCCCCTACGCGGTACTTCATACATAGATCCTCGTGACATAAAATTAAAAAATGGCTGTTATAAACGTAAAAAGCAAGGATTATTTTTGTTTTAAATGGGCGTTACTTTCGGCGTTATATCCCGTAAACAAAAACGCGGATAGGGTACAATCGTACGTTAAACATGCAAATAAACTTAAATTTGATGGTATTTCCTTTCCAGTTAAAATTTCTGACATAGCTAAAGTAGAGAAATTAAATGATATTAGTATTAATGTTTTTGGGTTAGAATATAATAAAGAAAAACGATGTAATTCTATAGTAGGTCCATTATTTTTAACAAAGTGTCGTAAAGATAGACATATCAATTTATTATTTTTTTCCAAGGATACAAAAAATCATTATTGTTAAATAA